AATACTTTCAGTCTATAGTATTAAAATATGATTGCAACTAAGTGTATTGACCACATAAAGCTTGAAAACGTTAACAGGGGAGCAAAAGTTTTATCTGTATTGCTATTTCATTTCTAGTGTGTCATAACATGTCAAATGTAAAAAAAAAAAAAACAACATTTTTTGTCATTTTATTAAATATTTATTGGTTCTATAATAACATAGCCAATTGCCCCAATGTTATTTTTTGATAGTCAAATAAGCACCCAAATGATGAAGGGTAAAAAAAGTTGTAATAATTGAGGGCAAGTGATGTGTACTACTTGACTGCAACCAGCAGAGGTGCTATTGATTCACTCTCAACTCGTTTAGGGTCTATAGATAAGCAGCACGACAATATACAGTGTACTGTGCACCAACAAAGACTCGTTATGGCACCACAACTCTGGGCAGAATGGTGCACACAATACAATAATGGCATGGAGCAGGAGTACCGAACATTCAGAGAAAGCTTCCACCATCCCATTGAAAAAGTGTTGAAATCCATCCATCCATTCATCCATTTTCTGAACCGCTTTATCCTCACAAGGGTAGTGGGGCGTGCCAGAGCCAATCCCAGCTGTCTTGGGGCAGTAGGCAGGGGACTCCCTGAACCGGTTGCCATCCAATCGCAGGGCACACAGAGACAAACAACCATCCACATTCACACCAAGAGACAATTTAGAGTGTTCAATCAGCATGCCATGCATGTTTTTTGGAATGTGGGAGGAAACCGGAATACCCGGAGAAAACCCACGCAGGGAGGCCGGAGCCGGAATTGAACCCACGACCTTTGCACTGTGAGGTCGACGCGCTACCCACTGGATCACCGGGCCACCCAATGTTGAAATTATCAAATTAATTGATCATGAATTTTCCCCATAATCAAATGCTGTTAATTGCCTTTTCAAATGTGTTACAGAGTCTTTGGGTGATGATGTCAAACCTAAAATCAACGGGGTTTTGATGAGAAAAGCACCTGCACTGCATTTCTTCAAACTGCATTTATCTTGAAGGCGTATAAGCCAAGGAGTTGCCTTTTTTGGATTCCTTTGAATCCCACATTCCGCATTGCGCCCATGGGTGCTTTTAAAGGGGGAGGTAACATAAAAGATAAAAGTAATTGAAAATAAAGCATACCGTAAATTAAAGCTGAAGCATATGTACATATGCTTCTCAAGTCCATGGGGTTAGAATCAATGTTGTCTGTATCACTTAAGGCAAAGAGCGACTATGTTGAACGAATAGTTTGACGGCACACATATTTGAGAGTAAAACTTGGAAGAACAAGCTGCATACACCTACCTAGCCACCTGTATTTTTTTACGTTTTTAAAATGTTCTTTAAATAAACAAGTCACAGATTTGAATTGTTAATTTTCCGTTTTCACTTCTAACTTGTACACTGAGGTGTGTTAGACAGAAGCAAAATACCAAAAATATTTGCAACCGTTTCAGAGCAAAATATGTCTTATTGGTTTTCAACATGCAAGACTCACATATTGCGGAGCATGCTGATGTATATTTTTTTCCTTCTGTTTTTCCAGTGTCATTTGACATTGGGTGATTATTCTGTAGCATCATCACTACTTCATCTCTTTTAGGTTGTACGATCAAGAGGGATGTCAATATGCAGATAGAAAACTGCCTGAGCTCAATCTGACAATGGGGAAGTCAGTGTGGTCAGGGTGTCCAGAAGAAGAAACCATTGGCCAATGGGAAACAGATGTTCTCATATTCCTGTGAGTAGAGCTGTAATCACGTCTACTGGCATTAATCCAGTTTTTAAACAGGAATGAAAATCCTGATGCATGCACGTACAATGATGTATTGTTGAGTCCATATACAGGTGAAGTACCCAGTCCAGGTTCACAGAAGTGCTCCAGTAATCAAATCAAGTTAACTAATGCATTCATGGAAGAAATAAGGATGCGCGATGATGGAACAATCGCAAGTACATGAGCTTTCCGTGATGTCATGCATAAGACCAAACCATTGTTAATGGTGTAACTGCAACCATCTCGTTTGAGGAGAAAATAGCTTTCCTTGTGCTGGAAAACTGTCACCATGCTTGGGTTGCATAAAATTTGGGAATCAGACTTGGAAAGCCAGGCTACTGCATGACTTCAGAACTTTCCCACTTCCTTTGAAAACCTTTCAAATTGGTCAGCTCGTTCATCAAAGTAATGACAAATACTTTTGGAGAGGGACCGCACATAAAAGATGGAGAAATCTACGATACTCAGTCGGACGCCCATATGTTTAGCCTACATTGGTAAGACATTGACACTTGGTTGAATTTAGGTGGGGATGTTGCATGAATTATATCCAATGTCAGGACAGCCACCAATGCTGATTGGTGATCCATGTCATTTTTTAAGGGGGGAAAAAGGTGAAGGAAAAAAAACCTAGCAGGTAACGTAAGGCATGTCTGGACTTTTTCCATTGTATTCACTGCATAATGGCTATAGGTAGGATCCGAAAATCTACCAAGTTTCAACAAAAGACAAGTGCTGATTTTTTTTAATATATTCTGAGATGTTATTCAGACACCTATCCAAAATGGAAAGGAAAATGTCTCAAAGAGCAAGACTAGCATCTAGTCTGTGGCCAGATAGAGGTATGATGGATGGAAGCAACTTGTGGTATATGACCATAAATATGAAGAGATCACAGCTCCCATAGAATGTAAGCTTTAAAACCCACAGAATATTTTGTTGCTCTGTTATACCAGCAAATTAAATATTTTCAACTATGATATTGTAACCATTCCAAATTATGGGGATTCTACTGCCAGGCAAATGCAGAACGTACAGGAAATATGTGCAGTTGTTTGACATAGGCCATCATGAAGCATTGCCGAGGTCACTGAAAGAGTACAACCCAGAGACCTTGAGGTTGATTCATGATGACCAATGTCTTGACAGACGTTGGAGATATACATATAAAAGGTAACTGAGCATTCTGTCCACTTGAGCCCTGTGTTCCTCACCATTGCGAAAGAATAGAATATAATCTAGATACGTCTATTCAATAGTTGTCCATTAACGTGAATATAATCAATAAAGAATTCAAACGTGTTTTGAAAATCAGCCTTGTCATGCGTGTCATTGCTGGAAAGGAAGTTGGCAAAAAGAAGGACTAACAAGAGTGCTAAAACATTGAATGTTTTGCTGTTAAATACCTCTTTTTGATGGGATAAAGTTGCACACTTGCGGTGTTGTTTGACAAGAACAATTGCAAATGTTCTACAAACATGAAAAAAAACTTGGGGGGTGGGGGGTCTTCACCCTGGCTGTGGACGTGACCTAAGACTGTGGAAAGCAGCAAACATAATAAATCCGGTTTTGTTTTCCCTCTAGAGACAATAAAAACCTCAATTTATAATTACAAAGTCACACAGTGAAACAGCATGCACACGTGGCTTTGAATGGGGAGACTCCAAAGTGTCCCCAAAAAGATCCACAGGCGAAAACTTAATTCGAACCGCATTGCGTGATGCGCCAGGCGAGCAAAGACTTCTAAATCAGCGGCAGAGATGACTCTAAAACCCCCAACCACACACCCTGCCATCTCTGAGATTGCAGAACAGAATAAATGTCTCCAAGTGTGATGTCAGTCCTTCCAAAGACTTAAACCAGAGCAATGTGTTGAGACTTGCTCCTCTGCTTATTTCCGACTGAGACATGTTTCTTGCTTTGCCGCCCTGTTTCGCCCCCTACAAGTGTGACTCTGACAGATTTTCTTGTCAGTCTTAAGTTTCTCCTGGGCTTCATGAATGATAGGGTCGAAAGAACTGCCAGCTAACACGAAACAGCCACGGTCCCTCAATGGGAGCCAAACTTTTTCTTTTCAACTTTATCATTCAAAAATAAATGGTTAAAAGTAACAACAAGTTCAACAAATTGAAGCCTTTTTAAAACATGGATGGTCTTGAATCTCTTTTTTTAACGTTGAAGATCCCCATGAATGCACTTTATCCATCCATTCATTAGAGTCGCGGGGAAGCTGGTGCCTCTCCCATGGCTTACGTTGGTCAGAAGACGGGGTACAACCTGGATTGGTTTCCAGCCACTCACAGACTTAACCTCATGTAAAGCCAATTGTGACAAAGTTACTTTTTAACTTGAAATGTGCAAAATCTACCTGTTGAAACTAAGTTAGGCTTGATATGTCTGTCTAATGTTACTCAAAATTAGGCCTAAGATACCTACCTGTGCTGCTTTACTTTTTTCAGACCCCCACCCCCTTTTTTTTTTTTAAACTGCCAGCATTGAAACACAAACGTTTGGAACAGTTAAATATCATTTCAATATCGGTATTTCGTATTTACAATATGTAACTTCGAGGAATTCTCCTGATTCATAGTTTATAGACAATATTTTGAGTCTTCAAAGAACCTAACATGCATGATTTTGGAATGTAGGAGTAAGTACCTGGGGATGGGGGAATACAGCAAGTGGAGAAAATGCAGTCCATACAGGAAAGCCGCGGCTAACACGCTATATTTTGAAACTTTGAGTTCGACGTAATAATTAGATAAAGGCAGCCATCTTCTGGATGTTGTTGGGTACTGCTCCATGCCTCAATGCCCCAACTGCAGGGGCAAAACTGAAAGGCACATAAAAACGTGAATTACTGTAAAATGATAAAAACGAGTCTTTCTGACTGTGGGGGGGAGAAAAAGATCAGGTTTAAATGTTGGTCAAGCCCTTATATTCGAATTATTAACATTTGCTGGTGTTCCTAATCAAAGTGTCAGTCAGATACAGTATGAATAGTCGCTTCTTCTTTTTATATATTTTTCATACACAATTAATGATAGTACTACTTTGTTTTTTGAAGATAAAACATTACAGGTTATTAAACTTTTAGTTTATTGTATTACAGTATTATTTTGTAATGGACCAGGAACACCGAAAGTATTAGCGTTGCTATAGTAACCCTTGATAACAGCCCCGCCCCTTTTGTTCGCCCACCGGGCGTGCAGTCGGTCAAATTCCACCACACGCGCAGTTGTCACACTTTTTTTTTTCTCCACACTTATCTGCATCACACGCAACAGGTTGATCCCAACCTAGTCATGGAATTAATCAGTTGAGACCTGACTTGCTTTGCTTGTGGTACGTACGTCTTCTGAGTCTTTTATTATCTTTAAACACCGAATTTGAGCTAAATTAACAAGACACGAGGGAACTACGAACGTAGATGTGTATGTTTTAGCTTGCATACTCGTGAAAAAGTGTATATAGACACACGACTTCAATGTCAAGAGACCTGCAGCTGTCGCAGTCAATTTCTCATGACAAGGAAGTGAGTTTTAACCAATGGTGAAATTGTGAAACTCAACCATTGTTTTGCTCAAGCTTTTCTCCACGTTTTAATTAGTCATGTGGCAACGTGCTGATGTCATCCTTCCTCAATAGGGAAGCCCCCTGATATTTTATTAGAATTGCAAAACATTCTATTAAACATATTTACTATATTTAGTGGCAGGTCAGTTGCAATATCAACGAACACTAAAAACACTCAAACAATGGATATCTATGGCTATTATTAATACTGCTGCGACAAATGTGCGATTTAATTGTCGTCACCTTCCAGCCACAAAATAATGCTGTGATATTTTGGGACAATAAACACAGACAACAGCTTAGAAATCAGTATTATATAGTATTTTAATAAAATGTACACATAGTTGATTCATGGCCCTTGGAGTTTATTGCCTGTGTTCTGAACATATTTGACTAAGCAACCATTATCTGACCGTTGTTCCATGTCAAACGCCTTCAAATCAAGCTAGTTTTTAAAACATGAGTTCCTCCTTTGCTATATAAAAGTGTGTCTGCAAAGATATGCCAAGCATGTTTCAATTTAGTATTGTTCAAATACTCCATCATGTTACGTTGTTCATGCGGAGTTAAACTGCAGTCGGCTGAATTAAATTTTGTCGCGCCCTTATCACATTTCTTAGAAATTATGGCAAGAATATCAGGCGATATTTCAATGATCCACCAAGTGTTAATCAAATTCAATAAGAACTGGAGGATTTTGCCACTTCAAATGTTTGTGTTACGGAAGCCTCTCGGCAACCTGAGAGACTTTTTTTAAAATACCTCCTTTGGTACAGTCAATGTGGTCTAATGAAGAAAACGTTCACTTCCTCTTCTTGTTTCCGCTTGTAGACTCAGGGAGGATGAGTTGCGTGTTGTGGCTTTGTGTCTTTTGTGCGTGCTTATGGTGACCAGAAGTTGCAGAATGTTGAATTGTGAGTCCCTTTTTATGGATCAGATGTCTTAAGTGACAGTTACTGTGAATAAAAGACAACAGTAACTGAGTAAAAAGTACTACCACATACCCCATGAAAAAAAATCTCCTTATAAAATCTCACTCGTCACATTAATAAAATGTTAACATGACTATTTGAGTTACCGTTATAGGTATGTTTATTATTGTTTTGTGGTTGAAGTTTGCAACATTGTTCAGCATCATACTGATGCCATGTCTAATATTCCTAAAATCTAATCAATACAACGATAAGGTAATACTGCTCTGACAGGGTCCATAACAGTGTATACTGTATTTGTAAAGGCCACATTTTGCCTTCTATTTTAGTTTGTGGAGGTGTATCAATTGTTGGAGTTGAAGCATGTGATCCACCTTGTGATGCGACGTTGATAAACTGACTGATCCAGTTGACCGTGCAGGCAGTCTTCCAAACTAGTGCACTTTGATTTTTGATGTTTTTATTTTTTTTAACCATGACAGTCTTACCACCAGTTTCTTACAGTTTCGGGATTACTTGTCAAATAAAAATTGTCTCAGAAAATGGCAATCTTACCAATTTAAACACCAGTATTTATTTACATAACGCAACATGAAATGCATTTTTTTTCCAAAATAGAAAAAAATGAAACACAATAATCCAACACTTTTTTTTGAAAATGTGGGTGAAAAAAGCGTGATTCTTGAAACTGCTGTTAGTGTTAGGTAGTACAGTATATGGTAGTATAACTGTACAGTGGAAAATGTGTTTGAATTGATTGCTCAGTATTTCCAAGCAGGTGGAATAGTTTTCTTTTAGATGTAGTATGACTAACCTCAATTCCAATAAATTTGGGATGTTCCAGAAAATGAAAATTCAAAATGGAATACAATGATTTGCAAATCCTTTTCAACCAATGTTCAACTAAATATCCGACAAAAACAAGATAATTCCTTGTCAAACTGCTGAAAGTTATTGTTCTGATGGAAAAGGAAAATCACTATTCAGAATGTTATCAGTCAGCAAGAAGTTCAAAAGACAGCATCTGTGATGGTACAGGGCTGTGTAACTTGCACACCTGTGAATGTATCATTTATGCTAAAAGCTACATACAGATTTTAGAGAAACATATGCTTCCATTAAAGCAATCTTTTTCATGGACACCCCTGCTTATTTCAGGCTGACAATGTCAAGCCTCATTCTGCACACAACAACAACACCCAGAATCACCCCCAGCTTCGCTAGATGAAATTAAAGAGGAGACGTTCAGCTTTTGCACTTACCATGTAGGTGTTTATTTTATGCAAAGTACCTCCATGTGCAGGACACAAACGCATTTGGCAAAGTAATATTCTTGTAAATAATTACATTTCTTGATAGTTGGATGAATGCTTTGCGAGGATGTCTCTATGGTCACTGTTTTGTTGGTGCTCGTTTGTGGTTCCTTCTATACCTCCACTTATACCTTGAATGCCTCATTTTCCTTCAAAAAGCCTTTTTTGAATTTTGCTGTAACCCACATGAACACTATTAAAATGCATGTTAGCAGAATATTTTTCTTGGCAAGTAAAAAAAAAAATGGCATCAACAGAAATCAAGAATACTCAAAATGAACAATCAAGATACACCTTCATGGATGTAAATATGGAGGGGTTAAAAACAAGGCGTAAACCATCAACGTTGCCCGGAATCACATTCTTTGGGCAGATAAAAGCAAGGTCAACTTGATGGAAAATATCATCTCATGAGCCAAAGCATGCTACATCATGTGTCAAACATTGTGAAGTCTTGTTATGGAACGGGCATGTATGGCTGCTATTGGAATAGGCTGGCCTTAATTCATGATTGGATTGGATTGGATTGGATAAACGTTATTGTCAAATGTACTGTATGTGTATGTGTATGTGTGATGTGGCTTCCAACAGACATAAGATGAATCGTGATGAGCTGGGTAGATCTTTACTCTGCTCGTATTGAGCCAAATACTACGAGACTGATTAAAAGATGAAGAATGACCCTTAACTTGTTTTCAAAGCTATCAGGCACCTTAATCATTGAACACCTGGAGGTGGTTCGCTTTATTGAATCCAATTGTTGAACCTACTGTCATTCAGAAATAATTGAAAGCACAGTATTTTGCAGAGAAACTGAATAAATGAAGCAAATATTCTCTTTTTATCTCTTTTCCAGTGTTGGGTGTTAAATTAATGAGGCAGTTGCTAAGTGATGATGCATTGCAACGCTGAAAGCGTCTGATGCTGTTTAGCCTGTAAGGAAGACTTAGTCTGAGATCTGTCTCCTGCGCACCTGGCTCATGTGAAGCACGACTGAAGAGGTCACATCACAGCAACCGACTTCCATGGCAGCCTTGACGGTCTCCTCTGCCCTCACCAACAGCACTGCTGGGTCCAGGATGGCGCAGCGAGGGCACGGAACCAACGAAGAGCCCCTCAAGCGTGAGAATGAGTGGCCGAAGCGGGAGAGTGGGCAGGTTGGTCAGAACACAGTCCTGGAGAAAACGCACGAGTTCTTCCAGGTCTGTGACATCGAGAAAAAAGGCTTCATCACCCAGCGTGATATGCAGGTGAGGTGACCAAATGAATTGTTTTGTGGTAGCAGCGTTACATTTGAAAACTTTTCTTCAAATCATATTTGGCAATCTGCCTTTTTCCTGCATCTAAATAAAGCACCAACGTTCTGTTGCATTTTTCTTTGTTTCTTTTGGCATGTTTTATTTAGCCCGAATATCCAATACAAGGACAATCTGTTCTCCCATCAGCGATTCCCAATTAGACTTGAAGAGACCATGTGTGCTTTATTCAAAGCTGCATAACAAAGAGTTAAAGGGGAAGGTGGCAAAGACAGAGGAGCGCGAGCAACATGGATGCTTTGTGATCGAAGCTCTCCACTCGCATTATTGTGCAGATTTACTTGGCCCTCAGATGTTGCCAATCCATTGATGAAGCACTCATGGGCGCAAACACAGATCGTGGAGCTTTGATATCACAGCCTGTTTCTAATGAGGCTTTGGAGCACCACTTGGCGCTGTTACGTATAATATCGTGATGTACCGTATTTGTTATGCCGCCCCTTTCAGGAGACTCATTCTGTGACGTAATGGATGTGTTCTTCCCGGATAACACACTTTATACTAACCTAACCTTATCCCCACCCTGGACTAAAAGGGCGGCCTATGTCAACAGTTGCAGCAGTGTAAATATATCCTCATAGCACACTGCCTACGGAGGCGTGGCTGTATTTTTCATCTTCGATAAATGTTACAGAGCGCTTACTGTCACTGTCATGAGTTTGTGGCATGACCTCAACTGGATTTGACCTTTAGTTAAGAGTCCCTCCCATGTCATATAGTCCCAATTTTGCCGTACTTCACGCGGGGTTCAAGAAGCCAATTTAAATTCTCTGCTGTACTCTGCCTCTCACCCAGTCACCTGGGAGAAGGCTCCAGCGATGACCCTAATCAGGACAAGTGGTATCGATTTTCTTTTAATAGTTGGACGGATCTCATATAGGACACTCATTAAACATTCTTATCCTTTTCTTTTTTTTTTTCATAACTTCTTGAACCTCCAATTTACTATTAATTACTGAAATTATTTCTGCTATTTCATGCTATATCAACATCAATTGTTTTTCTTCTATTCAGTCTAATTGTAAAGTTTTATGACTATTTAATCTTTTCCATGCCCTATAATTTCCTCTTGCTCGGATTAATACCATTTGTCTTTTTTAAATGTGATGAAGAGCAGCAAGTATTCGAGTATGTATTTGCCCTTTAAAAAAAGAAGTTGATCATGAAAGCCAAACAGGTACATTTGTCCTATTTCTGCTCTGGTCAATGATTGAGGACTTTGCTGTATCTCAACTGGGAATTTTCCAGATGGTTCTACAGTGTGAGGTCGCCCCATACATGGGCATGCACTATAACTACAGTATGGTTAAAACACACATTTAAATCATTGCCGTGTTTAAAATGAACACTGTCAGGGACAGCGGTTACTACAGTGGGCAACCTATCATGTTATCAGGTTACACCTTAACATGATTGGTGCATGACTGGGCTGATAAAAAAAAGCATCTTTGGTTCCGCTGTAAAGTGGTATATGCATGTATTATTATTATTATTATTATTATTGTTGTTGTTTGTTATTGCTGTGCAGAGGTGCTTCTCATGGCTCTATCAGTTGTTATAGCTACACTGTTGTATTGTCCTTGAGGCTGTGCCCGCATCCATAACAGCTGTTTGTGTCATGTAAAACAGAGGCTGCTCGGCGAGCTCCCCCTCAGTGCCGACGAGTTGGAGAAAGTGTTTGTCACCCTTGATTCTGACAGCAATGGATTTCTTACCCTCGATGAGTTCTCCACTGGCTTTAGTATGTTCACTTGTATGTTTGGGACGGAGGACAACCTGATGAAACATGTCTCATGTTGTGTATCTCAACTGTTTTCTAGGTGATTTTTTGTCTGGCAGGAATATTTCTTTAAAGGACAGCATGGGAGAGAAACCCCACTGTGCAAAGCCTCCAGAGGTCCTCTATCACAGCCGATGGGAAGAGAGCTCGGCAACTTCAGAGGATGAAGAGGAAAAGCATTTTTCCATGCTGATGGAGAGCCTCGGGGCCAACAACGTCTTTGAAGAGTGAGTATCGTGTGAGTCTCTAATTTGGTCAATTTCAAATAATCGGACACTTTTCCTGAGCCTCATTTCTGCCCCTTTGTCCTGACTGTTGATTAAAATTCTAATCTGTTCTCTATGAATGACTCTGTATGTTTCCCAAAGGCTTTTCAAGTCTATTCATTATAAAATGGTCCAACGGGCTGCTGTTCATCAATTGCGCACTCTTCTCATTCCACGCAAATCAACTACACTCATGTCTCTTTTGTGGAAAACCATCGTGAATGTAATTTGGTTTCATTTTCCAATGTGCTACATACAAAGCTTTTCATAGGAAAAAAATATGACACGCAGTGCACTAATTAAACCCTCACTTATTCTGTGAACCCAAGTCGACCTGCAGCTTTTACATGATTTATCTTTCACGGTGTTAGTGCATTTTAGATTTTGCACCTTGGCAGTGGCGGGCCGTGCATTTCAACCTCAGGCCTTCAGTGACGTCACATACATACACAATATAGGCTCGTCAAGCAGCACTTAATTTCAGGAGCATTTAAAACCATCAAGTATGCATTCACAATTAAGAGCAGGAAACTAAATTTACAGATAGTCGAAAATAAAAAGATGATTTAAAAATACGAAATAAAATGCCACCCAAATTACGTTGTGTGATCTTCAACAAGTCTGTCCAATAAATTGCGCAGTGTCGCAGTTTCATATAAGACACCAACCAAACAATAACAAAACAAACTATTCTTTGAAAATAAACAGATCATTCGCATTTTGAAAATCGGCGATACAACAGCAAATAACTGACA